TAAACTGTTCACAGTTTGTTGATATTTGAGTCAGTTTTGCCAACTGAGCCATCGATGCACCATTGTAACGAACATCTTTACTATATGAACCAGGTGACTGTGCATAACCATCTACGAGAGTCCTAGCCTCGCTATCATGACTGACAACAGTCACCCCGACCCCTCCCTTGTCAGTCATGTCACAATACACGGTGAATGGAGACTGTCCTGATTGGCCATCGGGATCTATGACGTAATTACCAGATGGTTTACTCGGTAGTTTCTTCTTAATCTCACTACAAGACTTGGGATTCCTGACCAGCAATTGAGTTTTAGTTCTAATGGATCGATGGAAGTTTCTAGCGATGCATACATAATTACCATTATTTTGAGTACTTGCTTTAGTGATAACGAGAGTTCCATTGGAATGGACAATGACAGAACCACCTAATGGCTTGTTGTCTTTAAGCCACTCAAGATGGAATGCATCGGAGGCCTGACAGTGTAGCACAGCTTTCATTCCTATAAATTGCGTAGATTGTAGTGATGGTCTTACGGTAAATTTAAGGGAAGGCAAGACAGTTATCTGCGCATGCGTAGTTACTCTTCCCAGTAGATTCTCAGCTTTGCAGAAATAACTTGCACCATCTTCTTTCTTAATGTCCTGTATCACCAAGCTATTGTTTGATAAAACTTTGGCTCTTGTTTTAGGAAGGTCTCCAATGCTCCTGGTCCATGATATGGTTGGACGAGGGAGGCCCGATGCACCACAATGTAATGTGACATCAAAGTTTTCTTCAGCGATGACAGACTTTGGCTTTGTACTAAATACTGGAGGAACTGTTAACATGAGAAATGAAATTTTAGAATATTCATCATAAAATCACTTTTTTCATTAGTATCAATAAATTATTTTCCTGTAAGTATATACACTTCTTCATGGAATAGAATAATACTCACCTTGGACAGTTAGATGACTGGATGCCATGGCAACACCAAGCGCACTTCTAGCTGTACACGTGTACATTCCTTGATCGAGTGCTGTGACTTGTTTGATTGACAGGAAGCCATGGGAATCCACCACGTGACGACCAACAGGAAGAGACGAAGTCTTTTTGGACCACGTGACTTT